TGGGAGGCGGCGCTAGCCTGGGTCCCGAACTACTCCTCGGTGAGTTCGCTAGGGAGAAGTTCGAAGAGGACGTGGCGGAGGGCCTCATGGTCAAGATGACGCTAGGCGAGTTCAAAGCCCGCTATGGCGAGCATCGAGCCATCGCCGCGCTAGCTGTCATCGTTGAGGACGAAGCTAGTGGAAAGAAGAGGATGATCCACGACGCTACCCACGGGGTCCGGGTCAACCACCGCATCAAGTGCAGGGACAAGATCCGGGCCCCAGGAGCTAGGGAGAAGAAGCAGCTACTTCGGGAGCACATCGACGCTAACGAGGTGGCCTTCTCCGTGGTGGGCGACATCGCTAAAGCTCACCGACGCTACAAGCATGCCGAAGGAGAGCATGGCTACCTAGGGTGTCAGATCGACACCGAGGAAGCTACACCGGGGGACCCCGACAGCCAGACGGTTTACGTTAATCTGGTGGGGACCTTCGGGCTATCATGTGCGAGCTACTGGTGGACCCGCATAGCGGCGTGTGGGCTTCGACTCACGTACCACCTGCTAGGGCCATCGTTCCCGCTAGACATGCTTCTCTATGCCGATGACCTCGAGTCCTTGGGCCGGGGGGCTAGAGGACGCATGGGGATCCCGCTAAGCTATCTCTTCCTCGCTAGTCTTGGGTACCCCTTCAAGTGGGCCAAGACGAGGGGGGGATTTCGGGTGGAGTGGCTAGGCATGGAAACGGAGTACTCCACCTGGAGGCTAGGCCTGTCTCAGAAGAGAACCGACTGGCTAGTGGAATGGCTACGGAAGCTAGTCCGAGATGGGAAGTGTGAGGCCCGACCCTTCGCACAAGGGCTAGGGCGCCTGGGGTTCGCTTCCATGGCGCTAGACTGGGAGCGCCCCTTCCTGGGACCGCTACACGCTTGGTCCTCGGCTGTCCAGGGGAAGCTGGGGCTCCTCACGCTACCCACGATGATTCGCGTCCTCTGTGGTTGGCTAGCAGACCGCCTGGAAGCAGGAGGCCGTCTCCAGAAGCCGGCCTCGCTATTGGACGGTGCGGCGCCGCTCTCCTTTTACACCGATGCTAAAGCCGAGAATGGACGTGCCTGGATTGGGGGCTTCCTCGAGCTAGTGGACGGCTGCCACGGTCCCTGGTTCTCGCTCGAGGTGAAGAAGGAATGGGCCCCCTGGGCCTTCGCTAAAGGGGACCCGAACAAGGTCATAGCCGCGCTGGAGCTACTGGCTACTCTGGTCGGTGTGAGGCTCTGGGTCCCGGAAGGGGACGCTAAGAAGACCTCCAAGGTGGCCATCCGTGGCTACACCGACAACCAGTCCAACGAGGCGCTACTGAAGAAGGCTATGACGACGAAGTTCCCGTCGACCTTGGTGTTGATGGAGCTAGCAGAGGAACTCTCCGCTAAGAACTGTGAGCTTCAGCTACAGTGGATCCGCAGGGATCTGAACCAGCTAGCGGACGACCTCACGAACGAGAACTTCGCTAGTTTCTCCCCGGACTTCAGGGTGAGCCTGGAGGGGGAAAAGCTAGAGTGGCGCGTGCTGGGCCGTCTCCTCGAACACTCGGCTAGCTACTTCCAGGAGCTAGGAGTGAGGAAAAGGACCGGAGAGCCGAAGGCTCCGAGGTTCGCTAAGAAGGCCCGTAAGCTAGGTCCCTGGTAGCCCTACGGCTGCGCGAGGAGATTAGCTAGCCAAAGGCTAGAGTTCTTCTCCGGGCTAACGCGGGACTTCGCCACAACGCTAAAAAGAGAGAAGTTCGTGTTGTCCGTGCTACTGCGTGAAGCCAGTTAGCTTTAGCTAGGCTTGCTACGTACTCCCGGAGGCGTAGTGGGAGGTGGCGGGAGGATACGCTAGCTAGTGTACGCACTCGTGCCGAGGGACGAGGTACGACAGTGTATGCTAGCGCTAGTATCCCTTTGGGAAACATCGGAGGTGTTTCGCTAGAAAACGTCGAAGGGGTTTTCCTCTGAAGCTAAACAGAACGAAGCTTGTCTGTTTGCTAGAGTGACTGCACATGGCCGGTGAAGCAGTGCTACTCCGTGGCCATTGTGCTGAAAGGCCCCCAGCTATTGGGGGGCAAATTTCGAGTGCCCACCCAACCCACCCTGGAGATTAGCTAGCCAAAGGCTAGAGTTCTTCTCCGGGCTAACGCGGGACTTCGCCACAACGCTAAAAAGAGAGAAGTTCGTGTTGTCCGTGCTACTGCGTGAAGCCAGTTAGCTTTAGCTAGGCTTGCTACGTACTCCCGGAGGCGTAGTGGGAGGTGGCGGGAGGATACGCTAGCTAGTGTACGCCTCGGTGCTCATGGTGCTGCTGCCCCTTGTCTGAGCTGCCCTTTGTGCCCTTGCGAGACCCGCCCTGTTGGGAAGCTGGGCTGCGCCGCGTGGGCTGTGTGCCGTTCTTGCATCGGTATACCTGGCTGGATGGTGCTTTTGCTTTGCCGCTCTTACGTTACAGGGCAATCTTTGTGTTTGGCTGCTATTGCCAGCGTCGGTGCGCCATGTAGCCTCTTGCGATTTGGCTCTGCTTGGCTCGTCTCTCGATTCTTGGCTCTGCATCATTGCCCTTGCGAGGCCCACTCTGGTGGGAAGCTGGGCTTGAGAAAGCAACTTGCTTATGCACCTGCCGTTTTGCTTGGCATACACCTTGTCACCGTGGGTTGTGGAGGCGCTGCCCCTGCGGCCATGATTGCTCCTGTGCCCTAGCGAGCCTTTCTCTCGGGCGCCGGGCAGGATGTGTGCGGCCTTATACTAGTCCATGCTATGGGAGGCACTGTGTGCCCCAACGCTCCTGGCAAGTTGGTTTCACATGCGTGTGCACGCCATAGCGCTACCCAGTCTATCTGGAAAGCGGGGCACCTGAGCGGCTTTAGCAGTTGAAGCATAACAAGGGCTGAGCGATATCTGCCGGCGAAGTCTGCAAGTCGCAGCCCGTTTCGCCATGGTGTGCATAGTCTCTTTCTCGTATCATTCTTGTACAGTTGCTTGGCTTTTTGTCTTATTGTAGTTCTTGTTGGGACCGAGCGCAGCAACCTGCTGTCTTTGAGGCCCGCCCACGCCAAAAAAAACTGGATGCGTGGTCAAGACCCTCGAAGCGAAGCGAGCATGCACTTCGAAGTTCGCGCGATTGCGCAGGCGACTGAGCTCATTGCGTAGCAGCCTGCGGGCAACGTTGAGCAGCGCGATGGAGATGGTTGGGAGGACTAGCAAGCCGCGAGTAAGCTTGGCATCCACAGCCCGGAGTTCGAACCCAGGGTTCGGGAACATCCCAAAACCCGATGCTCCATGTTAGCTTTCTTTCAAGCTGTTGAAGTCCCTCTTTAAGACCCGTTCAACCCCTTTAAGCCCCGTTGAAGCCCTTGAAAGTACCGTAAAGCTTCCGTTTGAAGCTTCGTGATTCAGCCACTTTCAAAAGTTGAAAATTCAATTTGACTTACACTTTAACTTCGGGCAAAAATTCAACTGTGAACTGCCAAACACCCCTTGTGGAATGCATAGCTTTGGGTTCACACAGCAAATCAAGACTGAGAGAAAAGAGAGATTGTGCTCAGTTGCCGTTTCCACCTGCTAAAAGGCAATGTTTTAAAACTGAGCTGGGAGATTTAGAATAATTCAACGACCGTTTGAGGTTCACGTAACTAAACCGAAAACATAAGGTTTGAGTTGTTCGTCTTTCCGTTTGGGGGTCGGAGGCGTTTGCTCCCAAAAAATGTCTTTCGCCTGCCTGTTTGTCGAAGAAACTGTTTCATTTACGATTAACTCATTCTTTTTCTTTTGTGTTCAAAAAGACTTGCCATTCATTTCTTTGGTGTGTCGGAGATTACATGCTTAAAGCGTTTTCATGTGGCTTTCGGTCTTTCGACAAATTCTTAAAATGCGCATGCTGTAAGACGTGTGCTTCGTAGCCTTCACTAAGTGCGTCGCTGCTTGCAAATCATTGGTCTCTGTGGTTGTTGGTGCAGTCGCTTATCGTGCTTTTGCTTATCTTCGTCTGTGCATGGTGACGTGAGACAACTTTGTTCAGTCGTTTTTTCATTTCGAACATCAGATTGCTTGGTTGGCTTGAACAGAAAGGTTGATTGGATGGTTTGAGGACCAGTCATGACACATAAAGAACAGCGCAGAGTCTCGCATGCAGGACAGAGCTTCTTGAAGATGTGGCTGAGCGCCCAACATGTTGTGTTAGTCTTCTTGTCTTTTCCGATCAGCTGCTTTGCACATGATTGGTTTAAACGTTGTTTTTCACGTGTGCAATGATGGAAGTTTTACCGAAATGTTGATATCCGAGTTGCGGCCAGTTCGAAACAAGTCATGGCTGACAGTGTATTCCCTTGAGGGTGAACCACGTGAATCGTCGGAGTTGTACAAATGCAAGATTCACTGTGTTTACGGTATTTGTTGACGTTGTTTGCCAACATGCTTCTTTGCACAATGTTTGTTGTGAGGTAGCTGGATGGGTTTCATCTTGGTTCAAGGCGTCCCTGTACTACTAACAAAAAACAGCTGAGCTGCAGAAGCATCTTGCACGAGCCTTAGCCCTGAGGATACTGAGTCTCATGGTCTTTGGTCTTATACGCGGATAGCCAGTTCGTTGCAGGTTGTGGGCACGCAAGACCCAAGCAGGAGAAGCTGCACAGCTCAGCTGTTTCCGAGGCGGGATCAGTTTGCTCGTAGAGTGCTGTGCCTCCTTGATTTTTTGCCTTCCCTCAAACTCCGCGCTGGTCAGCAGCATGCCTTAGAGTCTTAGTTTTACCTGATCGAGTGGTCGATGATTACCAGTTACTTTGTTGAATAGGCTTACTCTCAAGTGCTCGGGCATTTTTGTTCTCGGTGAGTTTGGGATTGTATCATGTCTTCGAGCCTCTCACTCCTGTTCATGTTCCGAGGGGAGAGCCGTTCCCTGGTTGACTTGCCGAAGTCTGCTTGTTCCTGCTTGTATCTTGACCTTCTTCTTGCTATGCTCGCGTGTCAATGGATGGTGCCCGCTGCTCGCAGGCTCTTTATGGCAAGGTTTGGTTCTTTTCTCGTCTTAGCTGCATCCTGTGCAGTCTTGGCCTCAGTCGTAGGCAGTAGACATCGCCTGTACACGCTTGGTTTGCTTTCGTGTCCAGGTGGCCACAGATGCTGCAACGATTACGACGGTATACCCCAACCGGGGTTCAACGGAAGGCTTTGCATTGTGCGATTGGATGTGGCCAGACGAGCAAACTCAACAATGTACTTGCGAAAGGTGGAACTTACCTTGTCATCAGCGGCTCTGGATTCATGATGCCAACTGAGGCTGCAGCACGTTGCCTGTTGCCCCACGTGGATGTGGTCTGCATGAGATTGGTAGATCATCGAGGGCGCTTGATGCCTCAGCACACATGATGCCATCCGCACGGACAGAGACGTAACAAGCCCCATCTGCATGTGCTTGTCCTCAGCTCATCTGTCGCGGCGAAGGATTGGCTCGTAGCCAAGGGATGCCACGCCACCATGCGGCTTTCCGCAGTCAGAGATGTCTGTTCGTTGTCAGCACACATATCGGACAAGCAAAACCTAAAGGGAATCCGGAATCCGAATTCTTCGTATGGAACACGCAGTTCCAGCTGCCATCCTGAAGAAGAAGCAGGCTGCAGAAAGTCTGAAGGTGTTCTTTTTGTTTTTTTCTGGGGCCCGTTTTGGGCTGTGCGAAGGTGTGGGCATCGTGTAGCCCAGCCACGTCACCAGCTTCTGCATCACAGAGGAGTGGCAAGCGAGTGTCTTTTCAATCTGTTTCGATCTCAGCTGTCGATTGTAATCTCTAACCCATACTGTAGGCCTTTTGTGTCGCGGTTGTAAACCTGCCGCTCATGTTCAGTCCAGGTGCCAGATGTTCATTTCATTGCAGCTCGGCGTTGCACAATGATGAGTGATGTTGCTCTCTTTGTCACGTGCTTCGAACGGGTTATGAGACTGAGGAGTTAGTCAGAGAAAAAGCCCCCAAAGTGGTATTGACTCTGGAAGACAAAGATGACGACGCCGACGTGGAAATCATGGGATTTTCTGCAGAGGCGGACAGCAGTGAGCCAATTTTGTGAACCCATTTGACTTGAAGCTTGCAATTTGCATCCACTCGAGTGTATGCAGGCAAATGCAACGAAGCAAATCGCACAGCTTACTGCCCAAGCACCTGAACTTGGCTTCGTGAACAGTGTGGCTGTTTAGGACGCTGCGAGCTCGCATGTACTGGTGAGGTGCTTTCATTGCAGAAGCAGTTGAGACTGGACACGGCTGTTGTTGTCAGAGGAGCTGGTGCAGAGACTTCGTACCAGGTACCCAACGAGTCCTGGGAATTTTGGTTGGCGATAGACTGTGAGCGCACGAGCTCTTGCACGCTTTCACCTGAGATCGGGGCAGCTCTGTGTAGGAACCATGCACGACCATAGCTTTTGGTAGCGTGTTGCAGCACTGGCTAAGTCAGCCCCGTTCCAGTCTGCATGAACTTCCAAAAAGGACCAAAGGCAAGGAAGAGGCTTGCTTCAAGTTGGTCAGCTGAAACAAGGACATCTAGATGCCTCGTATGAACCCGGAAGTCCGGCCATATGCTGCAGTCGAAGCTAGATTCCCTAGATGCATGATTGACTGTCTTTTGATGTGAGCCGTCTTACACGATGCGAAAGGTTTGGAATCAAGGCATGCTTTCTGAGGCGTGCAGATGCCCAGACTTGTCTGATGTGCCTGACTTGGTGACGTATGTTAGTCTTCCAGAATGCTTTGGCTGAACAGATGTCGCCGACGTCATTCGCAGATCACCTTGTCAGCGATCCCTCTCTGCAGAAAAAGCACTCCGGAAGGTGTTTCAAAGGAAATCCTTCTCGCCCTGGCGGCACTGCAGGCTAACCCCTGGGATTCTCAGGTCGTCTATGTGAGGCTCTGAGAGCCTTTCTTGCGGTGTCCATGCATCGTGATGGCAGGGCTGGTACGTGCTGCTCTGCCAAGGTTGGGTCTAAGATCTGCAACATCATGGCACATTATACGTCATCGACGCAAATTGTCAGCTGCCTGGGATGAGAGCTGTAGCTGCACTGTCCGTGGCTGTTCGCAGTGCTCAGGTTTGTATGACGACGCCTCACGATGTGGTTGCTGAGAGCTCCGAGACCGTATCTCAGGGAGCTGAAGGGGGCACCGATGCTTTCCGAGTTTCTTCTGTTGCAAGGTCATTGACTGTCAGTGTACAAATCTTTGGCGGCCTCGGACTTGTCTCGACCCCAGTTGAGGACAAGTGTGCAATCTTGAGCGCGGTTCCTGTCCTTTTCAAGAGGCTGGTACGACGGCTTTCTATCAGTTTGATGTGTGCTGCCGGTGCATCCGGATTTATTGTTGGCGAGATAGGGAATCCTGCAAAGCTAAGTAAACGATCAGGTGATGCCGAGGCTGCACGACAACAGAAGGGAATGTCGCCGAGGATCTCGGGTAGGAGCGTGGAATGCTTTCTTGTTGGGACGTAGCGGCCTCGTTGATGTTGCCCTGATCGCAGCCTGCCTTAGACAAACATCCGGGCACTGTGCGCTTTTCGTGCACAGAGCCGAGATCCCGATTGCAGGCCAACCGGAATATTGCCCGTAGGGAGCAATCATGGTCCGCAGCCAAACTGGAAACTCATCCGAGGTCTAAAATGCCAATCTCGGGGGTCGGGAGATTCTCAGATGCGTTACGGCCAAACCCCAGCTTCCCTTCAACCAGCAGGCGTCACCTGCGAGGGTTCGCCCTCAAGCCCGGCGAAAGAAAGAGAGATAAAGAATAAATCTTTTCTGCCACTGGCATCCAGAGCCCGGGAGTGGGACCTTCATTACAGTTGCTGCTAAAGTTGAAGTGGCTTGAGCCTGAAGTGGTTCTTGGACAGATGGTTAGTTCGACATGAACTTCGTGTAGATTTTGGCACTTGATTTTGGCAGTCCAGTGCCAAGGCTTCGTATGCATCCAAGAGCAGCGCGTTTCAGTACCACTGGCAGGTTCTCTCCTCAGGTTGTCTTGATTCGACGACTGCTTGCAGAAACGGTTCCATCTCATTATATCATCATGCTGCGTGATTTCAGGATACCGCCCTGATCCACTGGGCCAACCATTGGGCCGGCTTGGCACTTGGCCACAGGAAAGAAGTTGGGGCACATGCCCGCTTCTATAGTCGATTCAGCGACATGCAGCCGTCGCCTGGTAAGCCACGATCGTAGGACAGAGTGTACCGGTGTAGTCTTCGCAAGGTACGGGCGGCGACATCATGGAATTTGGTGGTCGACACCCTTGTGAACACGGCTTGGCGAGACAGGGACTTTAGTTCATCCATCTAAGGAGATATCCCTGCTGGTGCAACCTCTGCTGGTCAGCCGGGCTCTGATATTTCTGCGCAACGCACGGGTTCATGTGCTTGAACCCTGAAAATGGTGTGTGCTTCCCGAGAATTCATGCAACTCATGCGCTGTATGCTGTAGACAGTGTTACATGCAATCTGGGGAGTATCTGCCGACAACCAGAGATATCGGTCCGAAGTAGGGATGAAGTTTAGGATCATCTGGTTCGCAATATCTGGGACTGGAGTGGAGTGTCGGGTGTGGATGCTCAAGGAGCCCTCGAGCTTACCCCAAAGGATGTGGAAGAAAAGCACCACCTAAGCTTGCATTTTCGAAAGCATGTGGGATGAGGACTTTGTGGCAGTGTTTCCACAGTCGAAGCCTCATCAGTGCGATGTCCTCTCTTGCGTGCCAGATTCCTAAACATCGCACTCTCCAGCATAGGCGAGCCGATCACACGCCAGAACAAATGAGTGGAATGGAACTGTTCCAGCTATTATTGCTAGTCCTCTGCTTTTAGTCTTATGAGTTCTCGTTGCAAGGTACCTTTGTCCGATCCGACCCCTCCGCCCTGCTCTTCAACTGGAACCCTCTTATAGCATTCATTCTGCTTGGGGTCTTCGCCGAACATATTGATGTTTCGCGAACAGGGGATGGCAGATCGAGCGAGCGTGCAAGACTCAGGGTCCCGAAATTCACAGCATTCATTCACCGGTCCTTCCGAAATCCTACTGCCAAAAACCTTGCCAGACCATGTAACCCTTATTCCACCACGAAACACGAAGCCTTGGGACCGCTGGACGCCCACAACCCTGAACTACGGCTGCGGCACACACGGGGTGGTTGGGGGCTCGAGGCCATCACGAATTCAGAACCTCAAAAACTTCATGGGAGAACTTGAGCTGGTACTTGGATTTGCTGGTCCGACATCTAACAGATGCACTCCACGCAGTTATTGGTTATGTGCGTTAACTTCTGTCCTCTCTTACGTCCTTCGAACTGTCCCGACTAAGATCTTCCATACGACAGCAGTTTTGTCTGTCTGGTAGTAAGCACAGGTCAGTTTGCTACTCCCAGTCAGTGTTTGGGCTGAAACTTGTCCATTCCTCGAACCGTTTTTGAATTCGCTGAACAGCTGCGGGCTGCGGCTTTTCGCCCGCGTTTCCGGAGCTGTGTCGATCTCAGGATCTGTGTCTAGCTTAAACAGAAGATCAAGGTTCGAGATCCGTGTTGGTGATGCATGGTGCCACGTCGATGAAGAGGCCGGGGCTATCGGTCCAGCTTGCCGAATCGTCCCTTCTTGACCCTTGATACCCTCTTTTGGGACCCTGCATGGCATATTTTAGCTTTGGAGCCCGAACATTTTAGCTGCACAGGTGTGGCCATTGTCAAACCGAAGAAGGAGTCGAGACCTCAGAGAAGCGAGAAGGAATGGCTGAGTGGATGTGCTTCAAAGCCAGGCTGGACAAAGCAAGTAAGTTGCCAGCTACCCGACGACGACCTGCTGATTCCTGGATATTACAATGCTCCCTCGCAGCAACTAATTCTGTGCTATCCGCCGCACTGAACAGAATTTGTTCAACGTTGGCTCGTTTGAGTGCTGGGACACGTCTACCAGCATGCTGAGCTCAAGATGAGTGCCCGAGACGCCCTCATTATGCTATGTAGGCCTCCTCCATTCCCAAAGCTTTTCACTTCGAACCATGTGGTACTGCCCCAAGGTGACCATTCGGGTCAACAGCCGCTGCCTCAAGCTTGTGCATGCCCTGACCAGCTCCGTCCGCAACCTCCATCCAAGGCTTGGACAGAGCAGATGGCGCCTGTCCGAACAGCTTGTGTTTTCCATACACGGAGGAACAGGCAGTCGACCCCTGCTGCCTTTCTGTGCTCGCTTGGAGCCATCTGATTGCAGGCTGGAACACGATACGGGCATGGATTCGCAGCAATCGCTGGAGTCCCGGTTGTCGCGCGCCGTCTTTGGCTAATTTCATCGCTCACACTAAAGCCATTGCTTGCGAATTGGAAATAGCCTCGCAGGTGAATCCGCCTCCTTCAGATTCGAACGGCAAGTTGAACAGGTGCTAAGACGGGTATGTACGTTGCAGGCAGAACCTTCTACGGTATCTGAGATGAAATCTGGTGCAGGGTATGGGGCGGCATGTTGGACATCGTGCCACTCGCCAGCACTATGCAAGATCTTTGACACCAGACGGATGGAAATGTTTGACATGTGCACCCCCAAGCTAAGGACAGGACACACATACCACTTTACGGTATATCCGCAGGTGAGGCTTTCCCCTTGCATGGCTGACCTCAATTTCAGAGGAAGTTAATAACAGACTGTTTCGTTGCTATCTCTGTGAGCAGCTGAAAAAGATTAGACCAAACTCAGGAGCGTAACATGGCGACGTTGAGCGGCACCCTGCGAAACTCACGGATTCCGCTTTTACTTGGCATGTGGTGTCACTTGGCACGTGCAAGACGCAGAGAATCCCGGGGCAAGAAAGCTCAAACGTGAAAGTCTTCGACCTCTGCCCAGGCAGCTCACCTGTCCACGCCAGCATGCCTGGACAAAGGCACACAACAGTTCAAAAACCCAAGCAACCAAGTAAACAGCAAAACAAAAAGAGCTCGATCATTGCCGAGCGAAGGTACTGCAGGACATGATTTAATATGTCAAGCTTCAACCGGTGGTCGGATCAGTCTCTCTTCCTATTTAAACGGTTTGAAGTATCTTCGTCCCTTCGCTCGGTGCACCTGTGTGCTTCTTGTTCCCGGCCTAACTTATTGTCCACGTCTGAAGCTGATAGCTTTTCGATTTGGAATGTTTTACCTTTGCCTTTGCCCGATGGGCAACACAAGAACATGTTCTCAATGAGCCAAAGTTCCTGCTAGGCGTGGACAACATGGCTTCTTTGATGCTGAGTCATTGAGTGGTCCACTGTTTCCTGCCAGGTCAACTCGATTGAGCCATTGGAAGGTGGCCTTTATGGCTGCACCGGCATCTTTAGAAGCAAGTTCAGAACCATGTGTATCAGTTGCAGTGTTTTGACGAGTGATGGCCTTGGAACCGCAGAGGGCACGCAGCGCACCTGTCTGGTTGTGCACGTGTGCATCAAGTGAGAAGCCCGTTCGACGATCCTACCTGTCGAGTTTGTGCGTTGGTGGATCGCGAAAACCAAGATTACATAGTACGATTTGTGCTCGACCCCCACCTTATCGGGACCCGCCAAGATGGGCAAGCTTGTATGCCAATCTTGCCCCCACGCAACACCGAGCAAACTTGCATACCATGTTGACTCCAAGAGCAAAACCTAGAACACTAGATTCTGTCTGCGACCGAACCCGAACTGGTGTGGAGCAACAGACACGTTTTCAGCGGCACGCTCGAACAAACCATTCACCACACACCAATTTCCACTTCAGTCCACGACGACCTGGAAGTCCCAGGATTCCAGATCTGCCGGAGCTTCAGGTAAACGAAGAAGATTTGTCCACGCTCGATCGAACAGGGGCTCGATGGCCTCGCATCCCAGCTGTTCTGCCTCAGAAAAGTTTCGTTTGGATGCCGTATCACAAAGGTTCGCCTGACTGGTAACCCTTTGGAAACTGACGAACAAACCCTTCTCAGCGGCTCAAACCCAGAACGAACTGATTAACCGGCAAGGGCTGGGTTGTTCATAGAACGCATAGTGTCCTTTTGCCAGCGACTGCACACGAACTGCACATAGCCTCGACCGGGGTTTCAGGCACAGCTCGTCCAAGGCATTCATCAAGTCGTCCTCTGGGATGCCCGTGAGCACGCGGAGGACTGTCATGATAACAGCTGTCGACGGCTGCCTCATCGGTCGGGCCGCCACTCTAGCGTCTCCAGCTCCTGTCGCGGGCTGACCTTCTGCGAAGGGGGGGCAGGGTCGAACTCCGGGTTGGCGTTCGCGCATGTTGAGGCACCTTATTTACAGCGGCTATGACCCTGTGGCTGCCATAGTCGGTCGTGTTCGAGCTGTGCAGGGGAGGTTGCCGATTGTGTTGTCGTGACACCAGGAACGGCTCTGAGACGTGTAGAAAGAGAAGGTGTCAGTTATCAAACAGGTATCACTTGCGCTCTGGAGGCTGCAAGCGATATTAGCTCAGTGAGGATAATTGGGCAGGATATGAAAGAGGAGAGGGTTTGGCATAGTGGCAGGTGGCAACAACTTGACGATCCATGGATCTTCGTTTGCTGCTGCGAGCTCAGTCTTTCTCGGGTTGTGCGCGATGCTACGGGAGATAACAGATTGAGAAGTTGCTCGAGTTGTAGTTGTTCTGCTGCTTCTGCCAACCCAAAGCCTCTTGCTTTGATATTTCGGTTTTGCACGAGCTTATGGTTCGTTCACAAAAAAGATGGGATGCATTTCCAAGTCGCTGTGTACGTAATCCCACCTGTGAAGTAGCCGCTAGCCCACAGAGGGCATGAACCAATTGCGGGGCGGGTGTCGGCGCAGAGGTTTGAACTAGGCACTCTCAATTCTTGATTCAACGGGTGGCTGTGTTGGGCAGATCCGGAGAACCGAGAGGTGCTAGATCTGTAGTTCCAGGTTTCTCTGCACGTGAGCTGCACGAATTCCTCGAGTCCAGGCAGAGATGGAGGGCAATCAGGTGACAGTCGGGGGCGTTCCCTGTGAGGCCCGAGTCGCTGGACGAAGCCCGCATGTGCGTGCTCAGAAAGTTGCATGCATGTACAGGTTCTGGAGGCCACAACAGACACCATTGTGTCAGGGGCCTGTGCCGCTGAGAGGGTTGCGTGCACACTGGGTTGCATGCTGGCGCTGGACCGCAGAACGCGAGGTGCAGGCTCGGCCAGTGGAATGACGCAGCGGATCGTGGCGAGACAGTCCGTGGGTTAGGATCTCAGACATCTTGTCTAATTGCACTGCACTAGACCTTTGCATGGTTTTCGATGGGTGAAGCCAACAGCAGCCGGGGTGTGTCAGTGGCATCTAAGAGGACGCGCCTGTCCTCCACATTGTTGAGCACCCTGCTTAAGCATCCCAGGCGTCGTGCGACTAGGCCTTCAATCATCGATATGATTAAAATGGCTGTCGTCGTCAAACATTTCATGAGTTGGCACGTTGCAAGTACGTGGCTGCTATAGATTGCCACTTTGCCACATGGAAGAATTTTTTTGGATCGCTTAAACCTAGGCTCCATTACAACAGATGGAGCGATCGGCGTCGCCGGGTGCCGCTGCAGCCGTTGAGAGAAAGCTACCTTGAAGCCACTATCGTGTCATTTGGGGTTTTCATTTCCGATTGGGTGTTTCACCCTCCGAGTCCTGCCGTGGAAAGAAAGCAAAAAAAGCACAAAAAACACCAATTATGTCATGCTTTGAAGCTGAGTTTTGTGGAGCCAACACACATGTTTTCATGCTTTGGGCACACACATACACCGAAATATTTGTGCATATTTTAAATGTTTTGCATGTTTTCCTCTGATGTGCTCAACTGTCGTTTTGCCAAATCAAACTTGTTGTCAGCAAATCACATGGGAAACCGTTTTTTAACACCACACATCACACTCATGGAACAGTTTTGCAGCAGCTATGAACACGACCCTAAACTCTTAAACCCTAAGCCGACTCCCTAAATCCCAAGTCTTAAACTCTTTGGTTGCTAGGGCTTAGATGGTTTTGGGTGCAGGGATATTAGTCTTCGGGGTCATTCAGGGTGCCTCGGTGGGGGTTGAACAAGCCCCCTCTTGGCTTAGTGGGGTGATAGGGTTATTCAGGGTGCCTTGGTGGGGGTTGAACAAGCCCCCTCTTGGCTTAGGCAAGTAGTGGGGTTTTTAGGCAGGTGCTGGAGTTTTTCAGGGTGCCTTGGTGGGGGTTGAACAAGCCCCCTCTTGGCTTAGGCAGGTAGTGGGGTTTTTTGCAGGTGTTGAGTTGTTCAGGGTGCCTTGGTGGGGGTTGAACAAGCCCCCTCTTGGCTTAGGCAGGTAGTGGGGCTTTATGCAGGTCTTGAGTTGTTCAGGGTGCCTTGGTGGGGGTCGGCTCGGGTTTTGGGGTTGGGGTTTAGAGTGCTTGCCCAGAAGCCCGAAGCAAGACCCTAAATGCCCAAATTCTTTAACCCTGAACCCTAAACCCAAACCCCCGAAGCCCTACTCCCCTGAGCTCTGAACATGATGCCTCATCCTGAATTGTAAGGCTAAACTCCTCCATAGCAATAGTTGCCAAGCCCCCAATTTGCACATGCCATCGACCTTCACCTCAGCCCTGGTAACCCTGAACCCCTGGACCTTATGCCCGAAACCCCGAACCACATAAACCCTGAACCTGAGGCCCTGAACCCCTTGACCTTAAACCCTAGCGCCGCTAACCCTGTCGTTGCAGGCCTTTGAGCCCTAACCTTTACACCCTAAACCCCCAAACCCTACACCTGTGGTGGCACAAGACTGCTTGCGCCCGACGACGAGGCATGGCATTCGCTTGCAACCGGTTGGGTTCTGTATTTTTCTCACACAACCATGAATTGAAATGATTCTTAGTTGCAGGGTTCTGCTGCAAAAAAACAGGTTGCAACCAGTTGCGTTCTGTAACTTGTGGCAAATCAGATGACTTGAATACAGGTTTCTGTGGCAAAATACAGATTGCAACCAGTTGCGTTCTGTAACTTGTGGCAAAAACATCAATTCAGATGACTTGAATACAGGTTTGTGTGGCAAAAAACAGATTGCAACCAGTTGCGTTCTGTAACTTGTGGCAAAACCATCAATTCAGATGACTTGAATAGAGGTTTCTGTGGCAAAATACAGATTGCAACCAGTTGCGTTCTGTAACTTGTGGCAAAAACATCAATTCAGATGACGGGAATACAGGTTTGTGTGGCAAAAAACAGATTGCAACCAGTTGCGTTCTGTAACTTGTGGCAAAACCATCAATTCAGATGACTTGAATACAGGTTTCTGTGGCAAAATACAGATTGCAACCAGTTGCGTTCTGTAACTTGTGGCAAAACCATCAATTCAGATGACTTGAATAGAGGTTTCTGTGGCAAAACACAGATTGCAACCAGTTGCGTTCTGTAACTTGTGGCAAAACCATCATTTCAGATGACTTCAATACAGGCTTGTGTAGCTAAACACAGATTGCAACCAGTTGTGTTCTGTAGCTTCGTAGTAACAGTTGCGAGATCTAGGGCCGTTGAGATTGTCGGGTTTAGAGGTCAGGTTTAAGGGTTTCGGGCTAGTGCATCATGCATGTCACATCAGGCATGGCATGCCACATCATGTTCTGGTTCAGGGGTTTAGGGGTTCAAGGGTCACATCATACATGCCATTCCATGGCATATTCTGCTTCAGGGGTCTAGGGGTCGCAGCATACATGCCATAGCATGACATTTTGTGGTTTAGGGGTCACATCATGCATGTCATGCCATGTCATGTCATGTTCTGGTTTAGGGGTTTAGGGGTTGCATCATACATGCCATACCACGACATGTTGTGGTTTAGGGGTCACATCATGCATGTCATGCCACGACATGTTCTGGTTTAGGGGTTTAGGGGTTTAAGGGATCATACATGCCACCCCATGTTACTTTCTGCTTTAGGGGTTTAGATCATGCATGTCATGCCACGACATGTTGTGGTTTCGGGGTTACTTCACTCATGTCATGCCACGACATGTTCTGGTTTAGGGGTTTAGGGGTTTAGGGGTTTAAGGAATCATACATGCCATCCCATGTCACTTTCTGCTTTAGGGGTTTAGATCATGCATGTCATGCCACGACATGTTGTGGTTTAGGGGTTACTTCACTCATGTCATGCCACGACATGTTCTGGTTTAGGGGTTTAGGGGTTTAAGGAATCATACATGCCATCCCATGTCACTTTCTGCTTTAGGGGTTTAGATCATGCATGTCATGCCACGACATGTTGTGGTTTAGGGGTTACTTCACTCATGTCATGCCACGACATGTTCTGGTTTAGGGGTTTAGGGTTTAAGGGATCATACATGCCATCCCATGTTACTTTCTCGTTTAGGGGTTTAGATCATGCATGTCATGCCACGACATGTTGTGGTTTAGGGGTTACTTCACTCATGCCATGCCATGTCATGTTTTGGTTTGACATGTTGCGGTTTAGGGGTTACTTCAGTCATGTCATGCCATGTCATGTTTTGGTTTAGGGGTTCAGGGGCTTGGAGGTTTAGGGAGAGGGGGTTCATGGATCCTATGTACTCTGTGAAGCGGTCCCTCCAACACAAGTGCTCCAGGCGATTCAGCGGCTCGAGGGCTTCTTTGAGGACCTTGCCAAGGCATTGCACCTCCATAAGCAGGTCCACACCCTGTTGTCCAGACACACTCTTAGTCTTTTGCAACACTGCAATATCCGTCTCAGCACTATCCAAGCGCGAAAACACAGTGTTGAAGCGGGCTTCAAGCTCTCGGTAGGATAAAAGATTTTGGGGCTGCTGCCTTAAGATATCTCATGCTGAACATGCTGATTTGAGCAGCTTGCTGGCTAGATATGACGATGAAGCATCAACAAAAAGCTGTAGCTAGGAAAAGCAATGCGGCATGGATGCTTTGGTGCTCGGCAGTCTGTCGTTTGCATGGTGTGATTTCCCTACCAACAGAGATTTTCGGGCTCTTCACAAATCTCTGCACACGGGTTGGCCGCCGTGTGGGGTGCAGGTCCGGCTAGAAAGCACATGGGGTGTTGGGGCCAACTCGCAACGAGCCCGATGCGAATGACAGCGAGACGATGAGCTAATGTGCTCGCTGGCACCCCTGCTTATCTGGAGGCACGAGGTCATATCGTGCGGGGGCAGGGCCCACCCCGTGCCTATGGCCTCTTGCCGATAGACCGGAGTATCGTGCTGGTGGGAGGCTGTTGGGTTCCTGTGGGTCGTGGTGATGGCCCTACCGAAGGGGTGCCCGGCACATGACACAGGCACCTCTCACACCATTGGCCGGGTGTGGGGCAAGGGTCTTTGCACCGCTGGGGAATGTGGCTGCCTTGGGGCCAACCTGCCAGTGCCGGCAGATGACAGCAGGACGAATGGGCTAATGTGCCTGCTGGGGTGGCCACAGTCCTTGCTTGGCAGGTATCTGCTGAAGTGTGCAAGCCCTTTTGTACGGGAGGCCGTTGATAATCATAAGTGTTGTCTTTTCATGCTCATGATTTTGATGCTTGTGAGCCTTGACATTCTCAGCCCTACCTACACTGACTTCCCGGTTTGTGGGTTTTGGTCGGTGTGTTACCGTTGGCCGGGTGACAGGGCGGCCCAGGCACCTTGAAGCCAACGCCCCTTTCGAGGGGTATGACAGCGGGACGATGAGCTAAAGTGTCCGCTGGGGTGCTAATCTGCAGGCGGAAGGCAAGAAGAGGGGTGTCGTGACTCACGGGCCTGCGGTGCCCGCATTAAGGCGGTGTCAAATCCGTCGCCTGGGGTTGGGACCCGCACTGCAGGGCAAGGGCCAGGGAAGGGAGGCCTCTTACTGTGCATGCATCTTGGCTTTGGATCTTCATGCTTATTTCTGATCAATTTCATGACTTTTCAGCTATTGACAAAAGTTAACGATCTTCGGGATTGCAAACCTCTGGGTCGTGAAAACGGCCCTACCGAAGGGGTGCCCGGCACATGACACAGGCACCTCTCACACCATTGGCCGGGTGTGGGGCAAGGGTCTTTGCACCGCTGGGGAATGTGGCTGCCTTGGGGCCAACCTGCCAGTGCCGGCAGATGACAGCAGGACGAATGGGCTAATGTGCCTGCTGGGGTGGCCACAGTCCTCGCTTGGCAGGTATCTGCTGAAGTGTGCAAGCCCTTTTGTACGGGAGGCCGTTGATAATCATAAGTGTTGTCTTTTCATGCTCATGATTTTGATGCTTGTGAGCCCTGACATCGAATGAGCTCGTCAACCAAGACCTGGCCTAAAGCCACCAACCTAGGGGTGTCCCGTATTGCTTTGCCATGATCCTGTGCAGGTCTGGTGATGTGCTGGGGAGGAAACTACAGCTGGCAGGGGACTCGGCTTGCTTAAATCCGTTCCGAAGTGCTGTGCCAGCATGTCTTTGCAGGTATAGGAGGTTTAGATAGGGTTTAGCGCGTGGCCGTGTTGCCTTTGTTGCTCCAGCGGCTTCAGTTCATGATCAGACCAGCCATGAACCATGACATGCGCATGACCATGTGACCATGCATGCTACCAGCTGCCAGAATCCCTAGTTGCAGATCCCAAAGT